GTGCCCAAGATCCCGAGAGGAGAATGGAGGAGAAGGGATTGCGGTGTGGCCATCCCCCCTGGGGGGTGATTTCTCGCTTTCTATCTCTCTGTCTCTCTCTGTCTTTCTGGCAAACGCACGTGCCCTACAACAAAAACTTCTCCAAAAAAAAGAAAAAAGAAAAGAAAAAGAAAAAGTAAAAAGAGGGACCAGCAGTTGGCGTAATGGCTATGTTGCTGGACTCCCACGAAGCCCACCGCAGTTCAAGTCCCAGACCTGTTAGCTTCAACTCACGCTGGGAGCATGTGCGAGCATCCCCAAGATCCCCAGAGGAGAATGGAGGAGAAGGGATTATGGCGTGACCATCCCCCTAGGGGATGATTTTTTGCTTTCTGTCTCTCTGGCGAACGCACGTGCCCTATAGCAAAAACCTCTCCAAAAAATAGTACACAATCATTATCACACCTAAGACATTAATATTTCAAATACCTTTGTGCTCACATTTCCTGAGTATCTTTTTATGGTTTGAATCAGAATCTAAATAAAAATGAAAGGAGGGTTTTTTGTTTTGTTTTTTTTGGGGGGGGGGTGGTTAGAGAGATTTTTGATATAGAGTTTGTGTAACCACTGGAAAGATGGAGAAAGACGGAGAGACAGAAAGTGAGAAATCACCCCCCAGGGATGGCCACTCTGCAATCCCTTCTTCTCTCGGGATTTGGGGCACACACGCACACATGCCAGGCATGGGTTTTAAGCCACCAGGTCTAGGACTTGAATCGCAGTCGACCACATGGGAGTCTAGCACCTTAACCACTACCACTCCTGCTGGCCCCAAAAGGAGTTTTAAAAAATGCATCCTTGGGAACTAGCAGTTAGCGTAATGGCTATGTCGCTGGACTCCCACGTAGTCGACCGCGCTTTGTGTCCTGAACCCAGTGGCTTAAATCTCACGCGGGCGCATGTGCGTGCATGCCCAAGATCCCAAGAGGAGAATGGAGGAGAAGGGATTGCGGCGTGACCATCCTCCCTGGGGGGTGATTTCTTGCTTTCTGTCTCTCTGTCTCTCTCTGTCTGTCTGGCGAGCGCACATGCCCTATAGCAAAAACCTCTCCAAAAAAAAAAAATACATCGTTACATCATAAACTTCATTTTCACCACAATGCAAATAATATTATGTTTGATTCTCTGTCTCCCATTTTGCAGGCAAGAAAACTAAGACCAGGAAAGGTAAATGCCTTGCCCAAGCCTTTGCAGCCAGGAAGAGTGGCAGAGTCCAGTCTCCTGACTTCAGATTGGGTGATATGGGCGGGGGGGTGGGGTGGGTGGATGAAGGGACTGCATCCTGACTGTGGACACATCGACAATAGAGCCTGCTCCAAGAAAAAAAAACAACCAACCAGCTCCGGGCTTGAGGGGGGGAAGAACATTCCTGCAGGAGCCACAGACCTGCAGAGATCCTGCCAGCCTTCACTCCAGGGGCAGGCAGGTGGGAGCACTCACTTCTGATTGGGGAAAGCAAGGCCAGCTCCCCAGCCAGAGGCTGGCCTTTTCCCAGTGGTGGGGACACTGTGGCCCCAGGGTCAATGGGCTTGGAGTTAATTATCTACTTGGGGTATCTCTGGGCCCCATTGGCTGGCGGGGGGCGCGGGAGTGAACCCAAAGGGGGTGGTGAGCCCCTCCCCAGCCAGTGGCTGGTGCTGTGAGCACCTACTGCAATGGACAGGCCCTCAGGACGCCCCTGGTCTGAGGAAGGAGACACCACTCCAGCCCACGGGAGCTCCAGTCTGAGGCAAAGAGGATGGAGACAGAAGAAGAGAAGTTCTGAGTGGAGGGGGCCAGGGATGGTGGGCGCTTTGCTGCAAGACTAGGATGGAGAGCCTGGGATAGGGACGCACATGTGAAGTTGGGGCATCCGAGGGTGGGGAGGAGTTTGGGGAAAAAAACTATTATGCTCCTAGGGTGCATTCTGAGACAAGTTCATGCGAGAGTGGCAGGGGGCGCAGACCTTCCAATGCCATTGCTTCGCTGTCTGCAGTGGAACCCAAAATTTCTAAGTAGAAAAATGAAAAAGTC